GTGAGTTGGGCTCTATTAAGGTCAATGGCACTGAACTCACTCGTGCAACATCATTCAAGTATCTTGGATCAGCAATTGCGTCTGACGGCAGCCTGGTCGTGGAAACGAATTTTGATGCCTTGAATAGGCGATACTTCCTACTGCTGAGTGATGAGTTCTTTGCAGATGTTCATCTGCTGTAGAAGTACTGTTCAATCGGAAAATACGTATCTGACCCAACACAGCGGAAGCGTTGACGACAGGTGCTTTTGACAGAAGACAATGTGGGATTTAGGATTTATTTCAACTTTCATAGTTGTTATACAATTTATACAAATAAAGAAGACTCGTCGTTTAATAGCTTTAATGCGCGAAAAAAGCAAATTAGTGCGCTTAAATGTTTCTTAGTTACTAGTACGTAGTCGCGTAGAATACAGATTAATTTCGATTTTTTTCCTGTTTGATCCCTTCAGAATCCTTTGGTGGCTTTAGCGTAATCTTTCGCGAAACGCCTCCAGATGCGGTGTTACGCTGTCATCCAGATATTTGGCGTGTTTCAGGTACAACAATAAAACTTGATGAATATATAGGTATTGATGTTCTGTCTGAAAACAGTACAGTAGCATGATTACAGATCAATTTTAGTTATAGTTCGACTCAGGAGGGACTGTGATTGTAAACTGACTTGCGCAAGTTGCGGCGTCGGCCAAAAAAGCGACGACATTTTTCATGATTTATTCTCTCCCCCCGTCCGTAGAATACTGTAGACCTCATTCGCTTGATCTCGCATTTTAGCATTTGAGTTCCATCAAACTTGATTTCCGATGGCGCAGCAACCAATTAAAACGTCCCCAAATTGAGTTCCACTGAGCCCATTTCAAAAACATGTCCCTCTTCCCCGGGATTTCTCGGATGAGACGAACCTGTATGCTATTATTTCTTTGTTTACGTAACTCCAACAAATACGTGGAGATCTCCAATAAAGGTTGATTCCGCTGCAGAAGTTCCAAGGCGTGTTGAATGAGCACTATTGAGCCGGTTCTGCCAATGCCTGCCGAGCAGTGAACAATTATCGGAGTTCTGAATGTAGTGTTAGATGGCATAAGGTATTCGGAAATCTGATCTGGTAACTATCCAGGAACTCACATACTGTCCTTAAGTTTACCAAGTAGTGCTACCGGTGCCAAGTCAGCCTCAGGAACACCTCGATCTGGCCAATCTAACCAGTGATAGTGGGCACAAGTATGTATAGGTTGTCCGGGAACGGTCACATCCAAATGGGTAATCTGAACCCGAACACGGGTTTCGAAAGGAAAGTTGAACTGAAATGAACTGGTACTGGTAGGGTGCAACAATGTACAGCAACCTCTCGCAAAGGCACTCGATTGTAATGCATTTGCCCCGGGTACCCGGCAGCAGGCCCGCCGTACGGCACGAAGGTAGAGCCAGCGGATAGGTCGCAGCTGACTCTGCCTTCTTGCCGGGCGACGAGCCTCCTGCTAGATGTCCGTCAGACTCGGCGATTAGCGAGCGATTGCGCAATCGCTCTGCAAAGTGCACAAGCGACGGGCGATTGGCCCCGCCCCCAATCGATGCAGTCGGCTGCGGTA